GCGAAGGGTGAAGTGCTGGGATAGATGAAGCCTTTCTCTAACAGTGACTCAAGTTGATTTCGGAGATCCGCAAGTTTGGGCTGAATCAGCCGCCACTGTGTACGAACAGACAGTTGCGCGCCGGGCTCGAGGGTGATTTGGTGGTCCACGGGGTGTTCGGGTGGTAGTCCAGGTGGCAGGTCATCCGAAAAAATGTCGGGGTATTGTCGAATCAGCTCCGCTAAATCAGGTGGTACAGTTGCGCACAGCTTCTCGATGTCATTTCCTTCGGTGTCAGCTGCCAACTCGCGCAAACATACGGCGAACAGCTGCGCACCCCTGTTGACGTGCTGTGTAATAGTGATGGCTTTGACACATATAGACTCGATGCAGTCTGCAGTCCACGCGGGCAGAGTAATTAGCCCCCCATTCTTGCTGATGCTGCACGATCCCGTCGTCCAATCGATTATCGGGTTGTGCCGTCGCAGCCAATCGCATCCTAGGAGCACGTCGCATCCGTCCAACGTCGTCGCGAGAAACTTCATGCTGAAGCCGAAATCGTCGCCGCACTCAATCCGCACCGTCCGTGTCTCCTCCATAATCGCCAGCGGCTTTTCATCCACGAGGCGAGCGTCAATTTCGGGCAGACACCTGTCCAGCTGCAACTTGCATTTTTTTGCTGTCGCCAGATTGAAGAGGCTATGGCTAGCCCCGCCATCGATGAACATTTTTCTTTTTTTTCGTAACAACCGTGCCAAGGACCAGCACTGGGTGATCCATAGATTCACCCCCGTTATTCGTCCGAGTGCGATCGATTGCATGAATCGGAACCACGACTTGGTGGGGATGGTGGGGTTCGGGCGACGGAGCACAGTCAGTAAGGGGCCCGTCTGTTACTGACTCTTCCCATTTCCCGGCTCCTTCCCGTTATTCCTCTTTCCCTGCATCCTATCAGGGCAGTCTTCATACATGTGGCCCGGCTTCTCGCACTTAAAACACAACCATGTAAAGTGGCGTCCGGTGCATGGACTCCGTTAATCGTGGCCCGCTGGGTCTGTCCACGAAATCGGTTTCCCTCCCGAGAACTCGATCTCGCCCACTGCATCAGCGCGTCTGTGCTCTCGGCCAATCGGACGGCTTCGTTGAATGTTGCTGGACGGCTGCGGCGCACCTCGTACTGTATCTCATACTTCAAGCCGCTAATGTATTTATCCAACTGTTCAACTTCCGCCATGTCGTCCACTTGATCCGCGAGCGCCATAAACGACGCCGTGTAGTCTTGAACAGAAGCCAACTGCGACCAGGTACGCAGCTTCATGCGAGCGTGTTCCGAGGCGGATACATGCTCGAAACGCTCTCGTAAGGCTGCGCCCCACTGTTTCCACGTGCGAATTGTGGCCACACCGAATATTGATGATGCCCTCCCATAAGCAGAGTCGGAAGTCCTATCTGCCTCATGTTTCACACCTGTCGGGGTCCCCGTATCCAAGGTGCGTCGCCACCACTCCAATGCCGGGCCTCGCAGAAGCAATACTGCGTAATTAATACGCGAGGAGTCATCGTGAACGTTTGCAGCAGTGAAGAAGACCTCCACGCCGAACAGCCACCCCTTGGCTGTAGTCCCTTGTCCGTAGGGTTGAACGGGGGCGGGCTCGCGGGCTTAATCTTGATCGTCGTAACTGCAATTGCTGTTGCTGACGTTGTCCGCCTATCGCCTTCTTCGACGCCTCGTGGGAGCTCGCCAGTTGCATTAAGGTCGCTCGCCACTTGACTGGTGGTTTCGCCATCTTCGACGGGCGACTCCTGACGCGCTTCACCTCGCGCCTGGCGTAGCTCGTTGTTTTCTTCACGTAGTCTCTCCACTTCTGTCGTTAACGCCTTCATGCCTGCCGACATTTCTGCCACTTGCTGCATAAGTTTGTTGAACGCCTCCTGGTCCATGAGTCGCAAGCTACGTGCATGTGCTGGGAAACTGATTCGTACCACCTCCCTACCTTGTCCATCTCTCTGCAGATCCAGCAGCTGCCAAGTGCAACTCCAAGCAACACGGGGGGCTGCCGAGGCTTGAGCGTGTAGTGGTGGTGGGGGGCGATTCCGCTTGCTACAGTGGAAATCACTAGCCTTGTGATCATGTGGGTTTCTACTCTATAATCTGGGTAATTGTTGGTAGTGTATCCTTGTGTAGGTGAGTGCTTGTAGTCCTAATCTGATTGTAACACACTGTATTTGTTTGTAGCCCCGATCTCATTGAAACTCTAGTTCACATATAGTATGGTTCATCAAATTCTGTGCAAGGTGCATCTATTGAGTGGCTAATACATGAATCATTGTACATGCTAGCCTGAAGCATCACTTTACGGAGCTGAGATTGTGATTGTGGTGGGTGGGATACCGCACTCATAGCAGAGGGAGGGATAATCAGAAATCCATGGGTGAATGGAGTAAGAGGAAGCATATATATATGTCCATCACACAAATATTAGAGTAAATCTGAAATTGGCCTTTACACTGGACAAGCACACAGGCGGGCCAGTAGGGAGTGATGCTTTAGACGAGGCAACTGTGACTCTGAGGGGGCTGCTGCTTAGAATCTCTGCACACAAAGCGGACTCAGAGAAGAGAGGGAAGTAAAGCAGTGGTGACAATTTGTCACACACAAATACTCATGGAAGATTGGTGCTGCTGAAAAATCCACGTAGATATATTTTTTGGTGGTGCTCTAACACGCACTAGAGTAAGCGATCATGTACCGTGTGGCGCTTTTTTTGCTCACATTTCATAGCATGCACAAAGTGTTGTTAGATTGCGCGCACACAAAGCACGCACGCATGCGCGCGCTCCACACACACACACACACACACACACACACACACACGCACGCACGCACGCACGCACGCACACACGCACACACACGCACGCACGCACACACACACACACACACACACGCACGCACGCACGCACGCACGCACGCACACACGCACACACACGCACGCACGCACACACACACACACACACACACACAGACACACACACAGACACACACACAGACACACACACACACACACACACACACACACACACACACACACACGCACGCACGCACGCACGCACGCACGCACGCACGCGCGCGCGCGCGCGCACACACACACACACACACACACACACACACACACACACACACACACACACACACACACACACACCACACACACACACACACACACACACACACACACACACACACACACACACACACACACACACACACACACACACACACACACATTATTGTTTCGGAGCTGATTTTTATGATTGTACCAGGGGCAGCATATGCAGAGTCAAACATGTACGCCGGGCACTGGAATTAGACTGCTAGTGACGGGAGAAGGGTTGTGCAAGATGTTAGCAATGGTTGTGCAATCCTGGATTTTGCGTCAGTTGAAAACTATATTTGTTATTATCTAGTTATGTATCTCAACTCGAAGGCATGTAGTTCATATAATTCACTCCTTGTAGACTCGCCCGCATCTCACGGCGATTCAAGCAGTTTTTCGGGCATAAAGCACGAGGGTCAGGTATTTTTCTGGGTGATGTGCAAAATGTGGTGGTGCTGAAGGGTAGATGGTTCACGTAAACTCAGACTCCACCGAAGAACTAACGGGATTCCGATTTGTAATTCCCTACTTAAAACCAGACTCTCGGCGCAGATTGAGTTTGATGCCTACTTGCAACCGGGATTCGTGGTCTTCGGTGAGGTCACATCTCCGTAGCTAGCGCTTTCTTTTCCAGTTCCCAGTTCCTGCAACCACTACTGAAACTGGAAACGGGATCCCATTTCCCACAGGTCTCAGCTTGGGCAGTCCGGGTGAAAGAGAAATGTGTACGGCTGGCGAAACACCACGGCTTGTGAACGCGATCAATTTTGCTCATTACCGTTTGCGATTCAAGCAAACCGATTCGTATCCATATATAACGCACTAGAAGCGCGTGTAACACACCGCACCACCCAAGATCCACTTCGTACTCAAGCGATTCATGCAAATGAATTATGGTTGGAACGCGTCTCATCAAGCTCCTCGATGGTGATTCGCAGAGGAGTGCGATTCGCTGGTGACTGCGTGGAGGATGAGAGAGTCCGTTTCAGCCCATTCACTTCACTTCCACCACAATCCGCCCTCTCACGCCATACAAATACCCACGCGTTTTTCCTTCCCAACACCAGTCCCACATTCGAAGCTCTAAATACACTCGCCTTCAACTCCCTGCATCCTCTTCGCTAGCTACTAGTAGTAAACATGGCGCGCCTGCTTACTGCTCTCGCTCTCCTGCTTGCCGTCACCGTCACTCTCGCATCATTCGCCTCTACTGCTGCTGCTTGATCTGTTCGGCTTCCCGGCAATGGGATGACTGCCGATGGTAAGTCGAAGACCTGTGCGATGGCCAAGTCGGTGACCCGTGTGATGACACGTCGCAGACCCGCGATGGCACGTCGCAGACCCGCGATGGCACGTCGCAGACACGTGCGATGGCACGTCGCGGATCCGTGGGAAAATAAGTCGCATATCCGAGCGATGGCTGCGCGCATTTCAAGAACCCATGCTGAGCAAGTCCTCTATGCTGAAGCGTGAACGATAATGAAAGGCACTCGCGTCGTACCTGCACCGTTGTTTCTTCCTCACTCGCACTTCCACCTCTCTCAACTTCCCCCACCACCCCCATCCCCATCGTGTCAAGCGGCACCGTTGCTGCTAAACCCTGCACCACTCCTGCGACTTGTACTCCAGTCAATCACTCTCGATGGTTACCTCTCAAGAGAGAGTCGCTCTGCACGGGCCATCGCTCCTCCCTCTGCACACCCCTGCATCCGACCAAGCCTCACGTCTCCACACTCAGACCATGCCTCACGTCCCCACGCCGCGGGAAAAAATGCCACTCATTCCGTTTCCCCTACGCCCCTCACCCCTTCCCCCTGTCGCTTCCTCCCCTGCGCGAATGTACGTGTCGGCTTGGCGTGGCGGCAGGTGCGTCGGGAGCGGTAGACACCGCCGGCGGCGCCATCACGGCGGAGAGCGCGCCGAGTTTTGCTCAGCGCAGCGCGGGGGACGAGCAGAGCCGCCGCAAACTCCAGACGAGTAGTAAGAATGATCAAGCCAAGCCCCCACATGTTTTGTTCCTCCAGTTATTTTTGTTTTTGGTTCTTTCCATTATTTTTCTGCCGTTACTGTATACAAGGAGCTGGTGATTCCGTGGTGCCCATAAGGCTGGGCAGCACTGACAAATTATGACTGAATGGTTGTGAAGCAGGGTGCGCCCTAAAGCAACTCATATGATTTGAGGGGAATTTCGGCCGTACATCTGCTCCTGCCTCCCTTGATGTCGCTCATTCTCATGCGGCCGTCCCCAAAGTGAAGAAGTCGACTCAGCAGTCTCCCCTTTGCTCTCACCCTTTCGCAGGATCGGATTGCGATGACGCGATCAGACTGAATTGCGACGAGAATCAGTTTCTTTTCTTTAAATGGGCAAAGAGCGCAAAGGCTAAGAAGGAATGCGAGAATCACCGTGCGGAAATACTTGCAGGTTGCAAGAAATGGGGCTACTGGTGAGTGGGAGATGCATGTTTGTGCCTGGGCTATGCTTGTTGGTGCCTGGGCTATGCCTGTTGCCTGGGCTATGCTTGTTGGTGAGAGGGCATTTCGTGTTGGTGAGGGCAATATTATTATTATTATGACTGACTCGTGCCATCGTCTCCCCACCTTGTCCTCTCTGCAGAAAGAGCAGCGCCTCGCAAACACCCAGCGGGTTCGCTGTCAAGACTGGGAGCGTGTAATACTGGTGGCGGAGGGAAGAGGAAGAGCCTTCTGCTTGCTGCAATGGATGTTACTAGCCTTGTGATCATGTGGGTGTGTACTGTATGTGGGTGATTGTGGGTTTTTTGTATTCTTGTAGGTGGTGACTGGGTGCCTGGATGTCAAATCAGAAATACAGTGTATCGGTGATCTGTTGAGCGGCTACCCATACGTGCATACGTTGTATCACATGGTAGCCTCAAACTTGAGCTCTTCTCGCCGGCGATTTGGCAACTTCGTCAACGGTGAGACTATTTCACAAGAGCTAGCTACTCAACAAAGAATCTGGCCCAAAAACAATGATAAACCTATCCACTAGCATTGCATGATGTACCTGCTGGCAACACACTTTTAGCATTACTATGCGCATTGCTCCGGGCAACCCGCGGGTTCCCTGAGCACAGCGCGAGGAATGCTTGCGCACAATGTCTAGGGTTTGCTCATTGATTGTGTTGGCATTGCGTGTACTCCGTACAGGCGACCTCGACATTGGAGCGGTGCCAACCAAACTACACCAATCACGTATGCATTCTCAGTGCCTATGTTCGGTGGATGGCCGAGACCACAATCATTTGTGCCTACTTCGAAAAAACACATTAACAATACTACTGATAAGATACACCTCACGGCCACTCTACACTCGAGGAGTAAAACGGCAACACGTAGGGTGCACTTGCTTTTTGGTTCATTGTGTCAACGAAATATAAATTGCTGCGCCAATATCAAGTTTAGCTTATGAACTTTCGCAATAGAATAGATACTACAGCATAAGCGGGATACTTCAGCGCGTAACATAGAGGATAGCGCAGCCCCCAGCGGGTGAGCTGGGGCGAGGGTTGATGGTTGGTAGAATGTAGAGGGGTTAATAAGAGGTAGGTGCAGTGGCGAAATGCGATGAGGTTACCTGGCTTGTACACTCGAGTGAACACCTTTTGCAACACGCTCCGACATTCGCAATATCACGTTACTCAACTCGCCGTACCATGGCCGACGGCTCGTCATTTAGTCGTAGCATCGCGAAGTGGTTACTCGACCTGTCACCCACTCTCTTACTGAACATCCACGCGTCGCTACGATCCTTCGGGCGCGTATGTCTCAGCACCAAATCCGCATTTGGTCCGCACATCCCCTCAACTCCCCATTTTAGATTTCCATTTCCTTCGTCATGGTGAACACTACAAGCCCAGCACTCGAGCACCTACGAGCCCGTCCAGCGCAGTGGCGTTGCGCTCGGGATGGCGTCGTCAGCCCGTCCACACGCTACCGTGGGCCTCTCTGGCCCAAGGCCCGCACGACCAAGACTAGGCCCCCGTCTACCGCCGTGCTTGTGCAGGATTTTCACGAAATCACGGCTGTTGTTATGCAGGCGGAGTACATGCGCCTCCTGTCATCTGGTGTGGCGCCAACACCGCGTAAGCTCGTCGAAGCGGTGGAGCATCTCGTTGCCACACGTCATGCCACGGCTCGCACGCAACGCCGGCATGCAGTGGGTGCGCTCCGACAAGCGCGTGGCGGCTCGCCCTTCGTCACTCTGTCATTCTTAGACACGGCATGTATCAACGCCGTGCTGCACGACGAAAGGGACCCGGCGTCCGTGCAAACTCTTGTTCAGCGCTTTGTGCGCATCGTGGCGGCCGTGGGACACCTCATTATAAACTATGACGCGACAGGCCTCGAAGACCTGGCATGCACGACTCCGTGCGCTCAGGACTACCGTGTTTTTCTTATGTGCACTTCGCGATAAGCGAAGGTTGGGTGGTGAGCTATGGCAACTTGCATCACTGCTTTGGTCGTTAGTCGGTTTTGATGTCATGCTAAGCCCCCTTATTGGTGTACTTGCAGATGGAACATGGAAAGTACCAATATTGGGGCGCCGAAGATGCCCGTGTCGTTTTTCGCGCCCACAAGATCGTGCAGCCAATGCCCTACAACTACGAACAGAGCAAACACGTGGGCGGCGCAGAGGGATTGGTGCCGGCATTCTGGCACACGCCGTCGGGATGCTTGCATGGTGGGAAGTGGCATCGCCGGATCGTGAGATCTGGCCGGTTTGGAGGGGCAAGCACATGTGCGTGTATCCGTGGGAGGTTCCTGACGGCATGCTTGAGGCACCTCTTTATCGCCTCGTCAGGCAGGACTACGAGTGGAATCACCCTGACGAGGACCAGCCAGAATTCCGTCTCTAGATATTGCGTTGTGTTTGGACATGTTGATGTTCTTGCATGTGCGTGGTTGCTTAATCTGGGTTTAGGGTGCTGGTGTGTGTCGACACTCTGCTAGCATGTTAATTTCGCAAACTAATAGTATCATTCGTATGACGAGTTGCTGTAAAACATGCGCTTTCTCATTCACACATAGAACAAGGAAGTGTGTTTGAGCGTCTGGGCATGGCTTGCTCGGATCATGCCAAGGCACCAGCCCACTACGCTCTCACGCGCTCACACAGAGAGCACTAGTCAAGCCTAGTAGAACAATGTATGGGCGCGACGCGGCCAAGCCTGCTGTACACGCCCTGGCCTGTGACTGGCCCACCATGCGCGACCGTGACACGCTGTAGGATGGGGGTACGTACAAACCCGTCGGCGCATTACTACCACGTGCGAGGGTATGTCTCCAATCCGTGGCCGTTCGGATGATTAGCTGGCAATGAGCAGGATGAGGGGTACGAACAGGTTATTGGCACCAAACATGCGCTGTAAAACACGGCGACACCCTATACCGCGGTGACACGGGTAGGTAACGCGGGATACGTCGAATATCCCAGAACACTTTACCAGCACTGCATGATCGAGATATTTTCGAGCATGCCGTCCATTGGCGAGCGCATTTTTGCAACGCGCACAACGCTGCCCCGCGCACGGCGGGAATGCGCGGAATTTTCTTGAGGTCGATGTGTTGTGGCGACTTGTGCGTAGTGGCGGTGTTTGTAGACGTATTAAACTTACGACTTTGACAATGTGGATGTATATCTAACTTGTACAACTTTTGCTAGCACTTGAGCATTCCGCAATGGAACCCGCACCTTCTCCCTACACCGCTTACCGTCGCTCACAGCGTAGCAATGCTGGTGTGCGCAGTGACGAAGAGGACATGGTGTATTACGGGCAGGGCACAAGATCCCCACGGCCTTCTGACAGGGCGGGTCGCGCACCATCACCCCGTGAGGACACGCCGGAGCGCGAGGTGTCGGAGTCTGACACCGAATATCTGCCCTGGGCTGACCGCATCGACGTCGAGGACGGCAGTGGTGTCGGCGCGTGGTGTCGTCGTGTTGCCAGCGCGGTGCTAGTGAGGATGATTCTTACACAGCGAGATTACCATTCGACGAGAATCTGTCATGTACTTACGTTTGCGTGAAGTGTGGTGCTTCTTTTACGCAGCCGTGCGCCGGCCCCAGCGCGCAATGTCGGAAGTTGTGGCGGCATCTACGCCTAACACCACAACTCCTCGTCGCCCCAGCGGCCGTGGACCTAGCGCCTCCAGCGCCCGTGCAAGCGGCGCCACGGCTGTCGGTAACGCGACACCTGGTCCTGTAAACGCTGCAATGGCGGCACGGGCGACGCAGCAGGAGCGTACGATCCTGTCCCTCAACCAGAGGATTCATCGCCTCGAGGGGAGGGGCGATGCCGCGATGCGCCCTGAAATCGCGCTCCTCACTGCTGCGCGTGAGCGGCACGGAAGAGCGAACGCGGGCGACGCACCAGGGGCAACGCGTAGGCGTATTTACGCCGCAAGCGGGCACGCTAATGGCGGCGCCCGTACTACCAATCGCTCGCCGATGGGCGAAGCAGCCCTCGAGCGTGAGTTGCGCCAGGCGGAGACCGATGGTGTCGTTACTGAAGGGATGGACGAGTGGGCCGACCGTATGGAGATGGGGAATTAGCTTCTCCCCAAGCTCGAAGATGGCTTCAAGGTAATAGTCGGCGCTTTGCTCTAGAAAGCCACATGTCAGAACAGTCACTCATTACCAATGCACCATGCGCCCCAATACCCACAGGGCGTTACCGAGGACGCCATCACCATCCTGGTCTACGACACGTCGGTCCGCATCATGAACTTCTGGGTCACCTCGGAGCTGGCCGAAAAATGCGTGGCGCGTGCGCTGCGCTTGACTAACACAGACCTCTTTGTGCTTTTGCACATGGTGTGGGGAGTGGACGCCAAGAGGAGTGGATGGTTTACGCGTCAGATGCAAGTGTGGCGCGTGTCGAAGTGGGAACAGGGAAGGGCATTCGTCAACATCCTTCACGGCCTTCCCTACCGCATGCGGGCCAACCCGCGTGTCAGGCTGCCGGTCCGCCCTAGCACGGAGGACGTGCCGCGCATCTCCCGCAAGGAGTTCTTGGTGCAGTTCAAGGCTGGTGCGTTTTTTCTCGATTTGACATCGGACTGTCTTGTTTGAATAATACCCCTGTGCATTCTAAGTTCTGACAATCTATACTTGTACATGCACACAGGCCCAGGGTCGATGGAGCTGATGCCCTGGCACCGTGATGCGGCGGGAATGCCGTTTGCGATCGAGATATTCGAGCGCGCGTTCTACGCATCGTTCCGTCGTCCCATTGCGCCACAGTTGGTCGCCAAGACTTATGTTCTCGCGTTCTGGCTCTTCGGCGTGAGTACTGAGGGTTGGGGTTGGGCTTGTGTTTACCCAGGCGGAACTATTACTGATCTTATGTGTCTCCATTCACGTGTTCCAGGTGGAGATGCCAATTGTGACGGGAAGCACGCTCACCCGCAGCGCTCCGCAAAACGAAGAAGGTGTTCGCTGGTACCACGAGCGAGTGCGGCTCTGGATTCGCCAGATGATTTTGCGTCGCACGCCCCCAGCAGGGCCCGTTCTGTGACGCGGAAAGGCGTGCTTGGGGCTTTCGCCGCGACGGCTTGATCCTCTTCTCAGAGGATGGGCTGGAGGAGCTATCGCCTGGGCCGGCTGTTGCTGTCGCACCGGCCATACCAGTGGTTACCCCTTGCCAGTAGGCTCGCGTACGGGTTACTGTGTCCCAACGCCTGGCGTTTACCTGCACCCAGGACTGACGTTTCATATTAGGCCCCCCTGATTCCGGGGAAAAATTTTCCCCTCGATTATGAGTGCACATTTTTCAGAATGATGCTACCCTGATCGCTCAGGGTTAAAAAGTATATAACTCTGATTGTTCAGGGTCGAAAATCGAAGTTCAGATTCGTAACGCGCTCTTCATTACAGGGGAAAAAAGTTGCTCTGCATGAAGTGCGCTCTGACTTTCGCGCACACTTTGAGCGCGCTAATTTCCAACCGTTTAGTTTGACGAAATAGTATTTATCCATACGTTTAAGTGCGCGGAAGAGATGAGCGATTTTGGTCAACAAAACATTTCGATTCGATAACACAGATGTGCCAAATTTCTAATTCGCCGAGTACCTAAATGTCGTCAACATCGCTGTACGAAACGCAAAAAAGTGCTGGTAACTTCAGGCGCACACATTACGACAGTACAACAACTTATCTGAATTTATGGAAAGTAACAAACATCGAGTGTATTCGCCTGTCAGACATCCGTCGCTCACGCGCTGGCTGTACTGCGATCAATTCGAAGGGGGGTTATCAGAACGAAAGTTCCGAGAAACTTCGTGCCGACAAGGTCAGCAGAGTCCACAGAACGCGTACTCTACATTGACAGAGTCAGTAAGAACACTACTCTGAGCCTAGATACAATATTTCAGGGTTCGCTAAAGCACTATTCTGAATGGATCAGTGTTCACAAGTCAGAAATTCTGAAATTGCAGGGACCACCAGGTGAGAAGCCTGTAATCACCCTGAAATCAGGGTAATTACCCTGATAAAATCAGCCCTGGTGGGAAGGGCCGAACATGAGTGTGACACCCTGTCAAAGTCAAGAGTCCCTGACGGTTCAGCGATTGGATGCAGTTTCCGACTTGGATAGCAGGAGGGGGTACTAATACCCCCGCTCGATACACGGCAGCATTATGTGCCGCACACCATTCCCTGCACACACGTGTTACCTAACCATTGACGTCGCCTTAAGTGCTGACATTCGAGCAATTCTGGCCAATCCTGTTTCGCATCGGCGAATTCGGAGGTTACCATGGGACAGAATTGATCGCGAATGGGTGTCAGCAGCCAATGGCAGACTTAGCCCACACACTGGCAGAACTGCAGGTCGCCGTCGTCAGCTTTACTTTCATATATTATGAACTGTAACCCTCTTCATTCCCTTGAATGACAAATCACTATAGCGCTTAAACAAGTACTAAATGCGCGTACAACCAGGCTGGAATTATCAGACGCGCCACTTTAGATCTTAGAATCTGAATTCAAGGGTCCGTCCTAGCATTGGAGCTCGCTAGGCCCTCACCAAGGCAGCGCCATGCCGTACCCGTTTGCGCTGTACGCATGTGAGTGGTGCCGTCGCCGCTTCACTTCACGGTCGGCGCTGTTTGCTCACAAAGCTTGCAGCGGGATGTGCCGTCGCATACGCTCTCGTTACATTCGGAACGGCTCCAGCCGCTCTCGGTTTGTCCTTTCCCTTCGTGCGCCCGTGCCGCAAGCCACGACCTCGGCCGACGCAAGAGACAACTCCGACGACGACGATCCTCCCGATGCCATGGCTAACACCGCTGACCATCTAGACCAGGCAAGTTCGAGTGTGACGTCTATGGGTTTCGCGTAGCTGTGTTCGTCCAAACCTCTTAACACGCCACATCTCTAACGTGTATTCCCGGCCTTGTACAGGCTGCCGAGCCCGAGGCTGAAGAACTGACGGAGGCGGAGGTTCGTGAAGCAGTAGAGACCGAGGAACGAGAGGCCACAGTCGCGGAGGCAGACCGCGTTCCAGAGGCGGACTTTCGTCCCACAGAGAGGTTCGACACGCTGATGGAGGTTTTTCGCTTCATCATTGGATGCAACAACGGCCGTGGTTTGTCCAACGACAGCACCGTTTGGCTGCTGAATCTACTGAGGGAGGAGCGCCTGAACCTTGCGCTGCTCCAGCACTGGAACACACTGCATGCCGTCGTGAAGTACGGCCTGTCGCAGCTCATGGCGACGCGCGAGTATGAAACCCACGCGTTTACACTGCCGAACTGGCCCACACCCTTTGAGGTCACGGCAACCAGTGGCAAGGAGGTGAGCGAGCTTAACTACGCATTGCAATATGCTCTGATCCTGTCACCACTAAACCGTGGCCCCGATTTGTCTTGCTGCATCCACCCCATGGTGCAGGCTGTCCTAGAGCTGCTGCGGAACCCCGCCAATGCGGAAGGGTTCGTTCTCTTCGCACGTGAGGAGAACTATGGGGCTGGTCGCACCTACTCCACACTCGAGACTGCCACTTATTGGGAGGAAGCCCAACGTGCAGCGGTGGCGATGTTCGGGGAAGGGACGGTGGTGGTTCCCATCATCCTCTCCAGCGACGCCACCATGCTCAGCGGAAACGAGCGTACCAAGGTGTGGGCGGTCTACATAAGCATCGCCAACATCCCGCTCCACCGCCGATGGCAAGAGTGTGGCAAGCTGCTGTTGGCGATGTTGCCATTCCCGCTGAGCCAGATGACCCCAACCGAGAAGACGGCTTTGTTCCAGGCCGCGATGAAGATAGTGCTTGCTGACCTTGTAGTCGCCTCACACACGTGAGTATCCTAGTGGCCAAGCATTGATGGGCTGTGTCGCAGTCGAACACGTGAAGGGAGGCTGGATGACCGTTTTTTTGCCTAGATCTTGGGTGATATCACATTTGTCTGGTGGCGGCCTTTTGCAGGGGCATGGCGGCGACGGATCCCAATGGGGTCGCGCGGTTTGTGGTGCCGCTTCTCTTCTCCTATGTGGCTGACTACCCGGAAACCTGCAAAGTGTCATGCACCCAGCAGCTCGGGTCTGTGAGACCGTGCTCCCTCTGCTATGTGCAGCGGGAGCACCTCCGAGACATGGACCGAGACGCCGCCGAGATGAGGACTGTCGAAAAGCAGGAAGGGCTTCTTGATGACCCAGCTGAGGCCGCCCGATATGCGACCATGCGTGCCCCGGTGCGTATTTGTTCCCGTAGCTGATCCGTTTTCTATGTGTGAAGCGTATTCTCACACGCGCGGCCTCATACGCACCCATACTATCCCTTGCAGAGTTTTTTATGGGACTTCAACTTCAGCCGCACGCTATAGGGCAACACCTACCTGACGATGGGGCCAGACATTCTGCATGCAATCTTCATCGGCTGGTGGCTTTACATCCGTGACGCGCTGCGGGGCAACGACAGGATGGCCGTCACCAAGGACGGGTATATTCGTCTACATGCGTAATGTGTCATCACGCTTGATTTTCACTAAAGTTCCGGCCCCATACACTCTTGCATTGTTTGCAGGCAAATGGCAGAAATGTACCCCGATGCAAGACTCGCTGACATCGCCCTTCCAAGCTCTGGCAACTACTGGGTGAGCGGCGCAAACTACACGGCGTCAGAACACGCCGCCGTCATGATGGTAGGCTGGCACATTTAATTCATGCAAGGCATCACCCTTGTATGGTGTGTCCTGGCCATAGAAGTTCATATTCACCAATGGTTCTCTGGTTTCCAAACGCGTGCGTGAGCAGGTCGCCCCTTTTGTGATGGAAGGTGAAGGGATCCCCATCAAGCGCGCGGCCCTCGTGGGGGTCCTCGAGTGGCTCGAGAGCTGCGTGCGCGCCCCCTTCCACACCGATGCAAGCTTGACTGAGCTTGATCAACGGACCAGGAGGTGCGTGTAGATGTCCTTCAGAAGGTGCTCGCATGCTCATGGTGCTGATGGCATCTCGATCCTGCACCTGGCAGGATGGTTCAAGTTGTTGAGGCTGTTTTCCCCCGCGGCGGCCAGGGGTACAACCTGCTGAAAGTCCACCTGCTAACCCATCTGCCGGACTTCATTCGCCGCAACGGAGTGCCGCGCGAGTTCTCTGCTGCAGTCTATGAAAACGCTCACATTCGTACCTGCAAGTTACCGTATCGTGCCTCGAATCACAGGGCACCATTGCGCGTGATCGCTGCACACAACACACGGCGGCAATGCTGGCGCAAGTGCAGACGGGCCTGGCGCGCAGGAGGCAGAACAACACAGCCATGGTTCGTGTAAGTTGATCCCCCCTGGCGGTCGCTGATTGAACAACGCACACGCATGCTCTAGAATCACAGAGCACCTCATTCCCCTCGCTGTCTGCACATGCCCGCACCTTGCACTCCTATCCCAGGCCATGGCGACGGGCATCCCGCAACTGACGAGGGCAAGCAGGTCGCTCACCAGCCAGCCCCAGGGGGGCGAGCCTGCAGACTCGGTCTTTGATCAGCTGAACGTGGCACTGGGCGGGATTCTTGCGGCATACGACAGTGCCATGCGCGCTGCATGCTTGCGCCCGTTTCCAGCCATGGTACGTCCCATGCCGAGAGCCATGCCCGCACGTCGCTATGCACATTGTTCCTGGCGCTGCGCGCTAACAGGACCCAGCCTAGCCACCCTGCCACTGTCTCATTCGCACATGCCTTTTGCTCTCTGTTCTAAACCCCTTTAACACAGGTGCACACGGCGCTTGCCCTGCCGGCGGGAGAGACGGACCTTGGGACCCTGCGGCCCCACTATGTCCGTGCTGCTGCTTCCCTGCACGGGCACAAGGCATTCTCGTGCGTGGAGTACGAGACGGATGCCGGGCAGCAAGAGCACGGTAGGCTTCTCATGCTGCTGGAGGCCGAGCGGGATGTGCCGGAGGACGTGCAGGTGGAGGTGGCAGTGATCCAGAGGCTAGTGGATCAGGGGCTGGACGCCCACACCGGCTGCCGCACCCTCTCCGCACCATTGGCCCAGGGTGGGCTGGCAGTCATTGAGGTGGCAGCGATCCGCCGTGCGGTTCACTGCGTGCCCTCGTTCGAGCGGCGAGGGCTGTGGTATTTGAACAGATGGGCCTACAGGTGCACGGAGAGCCTTACTTGAGAAGAGCTGTGAGTTTGCAACTGTGACTAGACCGGGGCGTGTTCCGCAATGTTGGGCTTGCCGCCCTATTCCTCCACTTCTGCCATGATGACCCTTCACCCTTGCCTGCTGTGCCACTGGTATAGCACCTTTCCCTGTCTCTACCAAGGACACAAGGCACTGCTCTGCAGGAAACCTGGCACCCTTGTGAGCCATGTACTATATACATATATAGTATATATGTAGAGTAGCCAGAGGCCAGGGGAGTTTCACTCTCGTGCATGAGATCCCTGGTCGCGCATTTTATCTCGGACTCTATGTTGCTAGTATGAGTGTCTGATATATATATAAATACAAATTATATGTCTTGGGTGTCTGGGTGTATCACGACGCAATATCTAGTGCCGGGACGTGTTATGTCCCAACGGCTGCGGTGGGCAGTGGCAACCCCGCAACATGCGCTTAGTGTGGGCATTGCCCTCATGAGGGTGTAATGGATCGAGGTAGCGAGGATTGCACTAAGGTGTCAAACGAGTACAAAATGTGAGCGAAGGCATGAGCGAACATTTATACGCGAAACATGCAAACGGTAACGCGGTGCGTGCGAGCTAGCTAGTGCTACGCTGGCAGCGAGGCTCGGGCTAGTCCCGAAGCGTAGGCCGACACGGCCGGGCCAGCAGTGCGTGGTTTGGCAAAACAGTGCGCGCGAAGTTGGCGAAGTCCCGTTAGCAGTAACGGGCGAACAACGGCAGTGCTGTACGCGATGTAGCCGGACTCTGTAAGGAATGCCGAGAAAATTTCTTACACTACCCCCCCCCTCAAGAAGCCCCCTCCGCTACGCGAGTGCGTGTATATCGCGGAATCCCCGGCTCCTCAGGTACACTTGCAGGGCAGGGTGGTTTTCAATGTTGGCCAGGGGCACCCAGATATCCGCAGTTGGCGTGCGGTCCTTCCAGCGAACGAGGAATTCAATCCTCTTGATTCCCGTGGGGTGGCGAATCCGATGGCTCAGGATTTTTTCGGGCTCGATGATCGGCTCCGATGCAGGCCGAGTCATTGAATGCGGGCGGTGACGCGGCAGTTGGCTTGTGGTCGGTATGTATGGGCGAAGCAGGCTGACGTGGAATGATGGGCTGATGTACTAGTCGATGGTAACAGTAGATGCGCGGTTACTGGCGTGATCATGTGGCTGATTTGGAACGGTCCACAGTAGCGCGGTCGTAATTTCGGTACGTTGGGCAGTCGCAGGTTTTGTGTGTCGAGCAGTACGTAATCTCCAGACTGATACGTGACGGGGCGGCGGTGGCGGTCAGCGTTGCGCTTAGCGATGACGTTGGCTTTTTTAATTGCTTCTGCGGCTCTGGTGCGGGCAGCTTGCAGTATTTCGGCGAATTGTTGTGCCCGTGGCGTGGGGTTGTCCGGACTCGGCGTCATGGGCACTGTTGGATTTTGCCCGTAGTTCAGGTAGAACGGGGACTGCTGCGTCGTCGCTGACGTGGCGTTGTTGTACGCGAACTCGATCAGCGGCAGCTGCTGCTCCCAAGTGGTGGGGTCGTCGCACGTGGCACGAATCAACTGCTCCATCGTCTGATTCGTCCGCTCCGTTTGACCGTCGGTCTCGGGGTGGTACGACGAGCTGAACTGTAGCCTGGTCCCGAACTGCTCCCACAAGTTCCTCCAGAAGTTGCTGGTGAATTTCGTGTCCCTGTCGCTGATGATCGCTGCTGGTATCCCGTGCAGGCGAACGACGGTTGCGATGAACAGGCGAGCGGTCTCCTCGGCTGAGATCGACTTTTTGCACGCAGCGAAGTGTGCCATCTTCGTCAACCTGTCAACGACGACCATCGCCGCGTCGTTACCCCCGAGGCTCGAAGGTAACCCCGTGACGAAGTCCATGGTAACCTGCTGCCAGGCGCGCTCGGGCGGTGGTATCGGCTGCAACTGACCCGCCTTCCGCTTCCTCGAGCTTTTCATCACCTGACACGTGGGACACGAGCCCACGTGCTGCTGCACGTCGGTCAACAGCTCCGGCCAGTAGTAATACCGCTGCAGTTGCTGTCGCGTTTTTTCTACCCCAAAATGTCCCGAGGTAATCCCGTCGTGTGCCTCCTGCAGTAGCAGCTCCCTCAGTAGTGAGTACGCGGGTACCCAGATGCGGTTAGTGCCTGTTTTTACGTAATAAACTCCCTTGGCCTCTGCCAGTTGCTGTGAATTTCCGGTCGTGAAAAATGGGTCGGTGCGGTATCCGTGGGTGAATAGGCCTGTTAAAAGCGGGTTGGTCTGGGCGAGTAGGATGGCATGGAGTTGGGCGGTAGGGCGGGTGAGTGCGTCGGCGATATTTGATGCGATTTTCTTGTACGTAACCGTGTAGTGGAAGTTGGACTCGAGGTAGTCCAACCAGCGGATCTGCCGCAGTTTGAGATTCGGTTGGGCGCGCAGGTACTGCAGTGATCTATGGTCTGTCCGTACTGTCACGTCGGCGCCAGTCAGGTAACACCGCCAAACCTTGAACGCGTGCACGATCGCCAGCATCTCGCGGTCGTGTATCGGGTAGTTGCGCTCGGGCGGGTGCAGCTTGCGGGACTCGTACGCGATTGGCTGAAGGCCGTTCCCGAAATCCTGCAACAGTACTGCTCCCACAGCGATGTCACTTGCGTCGGTGACGAGCTCGAACGGTCGGTGCGGATCTGCGATGTGAAGCACGGGCACAGTTCTTGAGGGCCGAGAAGGCAGCTTGCTCTTTCTCCCCCCACGTGTACTCAACCCCCTTCCTCAGCAAGTCGGTCAGCGGGGCGGTCAGCTTCGCCATGTCGGGGACGAACCAACGCACGTAGTTGACGAACCCCAGAAAGCTCTGTAGCTTAGTCAGATTCGTTGGCGCGTGCCAAGCCTGAATCGTCGCGATCTTCTTCGGGTCTATTTCCACTCCGTCGGCTGAAATAATGTGGCCTAAAAACTCCAGTCTGTCCTGTAGAAACTCACACTTAGACGCTTTCGTCAGTAGGCGGTTCTCACTCAGTATTTTAAAAACTGCTTCGATGTCCTGTAGGTGCTGTGCTCTGTCGGGGCTGTAAATCAGTATGTCATCTAAGTAGACGATGACGCACTTCTCTAAAAGCGGGCGGAACGCCTTATTCATCGTTATTTGAAAAATGGCGGGGGCGTTGGTCAGTCCGAAGGGCATGACGGTGTATTCGAAGGATCTGTAGCGGGTGCAAAATGCAGTCTTAGGGCAGTCGGGCGGATTGACGCGAATCTGGTGGTAACCCCCTCTAAGGTCGATTTTCGAGAAAACCCGGGCTGTGCGCAGTTGGTCGATCAGTTCGTCGTCTCGCGGGATGGGGTAGCGCGATTTAATGGTAACCCTGTTCAGTGCTCTGTGGTCGATGCACATGCGAAACCCCCCGTCTTTCTTCGGTGTGAACAGTATCGGTGCGGCGAAGGGTGACGAACTAGGGCGAATGAACTCTTTCTCGAGCAGGTAATCGAGCTGTTTCTTCAGTTCGTCCAGTTCGGGTTGGGTCAGTCGGAACTGTCGCTGTACTGTCGGCTGTGCTCCCGGTTCTAATTCTATCCTGTGGTCGTGCGGTCGCTGAGGTGGCAGTCCCGTCGGCAGGTCATCTGGAAAAATCCCGCTGTACCGCTTCAGGAGTGCTGCCAGGTCATCCGGTACGTCGGCAAGCAGTTTCTGTAAATCCCCCCCTGGTCTGCTGCTTCGGCTTCCCGAATGTCAACCGCATACACGTCAGCTCCTGCCGCTACGGCGCGCTTCATTGTGATCGCGTTGACACGCACCGACGAAGACTCAGGCGAGCCCCAGCGAGGTAAGGCGATGTTGTTACCGTTCACTCGCACGGTGCAGTCACCCGTCGTCCAGTCGATTCGCGGATTGTGCCGTCGCAACCAATCCCGACCGAGTAAAATGTTGGTTCCGTCGAGGGTCGTCGCAAGCATTTCCTGGCTAAACGTGAAGTTACCCCCGCATCGAATCCGAACCCGGTCTACGCGTTCCCGTATCGCAAGCGGCGTGCCGTCAACCAGTCTTGCATCGATCTCAGGTAAGCATTTGTCCAGTGGCAGTTTCAGCTTCCGTGCCGTGGCAGTGTTGATGAGGCTGTGGCTGGCTCCCCCGTCTACAAAGATTTTAACTAAGTCCGTCCCTATCTTCCCACTAAGCAGTATGGGGCTGTCTACCGCGGTACCCTCCTTATTCGGCCGAGTGTGGTCGACTGCGTGAACCGGCACAATCACTCGGTGAGGGTCGGTTGGGTCGGGCGAGCGGCGTGACCTGTCAGTAGAGGGCCCGTCTGCTACTGACTCCCAGCGTTTCCCTGCTGCTTGGTCTGTTTCTGCTGCTCAGCTTCCCCCTTTCCCTTAGCGTTTTCCGGGCATTCGCTCTTGCGGTGTCCCGGCCGATTGCAAGCAAAGCAGCGCCCTTTGAATGGTGCGGCAGCGGCATTCGCGGTGATGGCACGTATCGTAGCGCCCTCGTTCGTCCCACGAGACCGATGTCCCCAGTTGCTGCTACTGCCGTAGGACCCCGGTCTCGGTCGGCGGAAGAAGTCGAGCTTCTCCGCCATAGCGAGAATCTCCTGAAAGTCGGTGACGAATTTCCGAACCGTACGATCGCCGCCATGTTAAAAAAGCGTTGCGACGTTAGCGGGAAGCAGGAGCGGACAGAAAGAAGCTTCGGCGAAACATCCGAGACAAGTTTCCAGGCGCCACTGACGAGCAGCTGGACGCGATTCTGCCGCCCAAGGTGCTCCTTAGTAGCGATCCTGCCGCCCAAGGTGCTCCTTAGTAGCGATCCTGCCGCCCAAGGTGCTCCTTAGTAGCGATCCTGCCGCCCAAGGTGCTCCGTTTAAACTCGTATTAAAACCAGGGTCATATGTAAACCTAGCGTTTTGCAGTTGATGGCAAACCCCCGAACCTGATTGGTTGACGAAATTGACTTTTGGGGGTGGGGGGGACGAATTTCGTGCACTAGCCACATTTCGGCAACAGGACCATTCCAACTTCGC